ACTTCTTTATTACAGTAAGGAGCGACGTTTCAGTGTTGGTTCCATCACCTGCTTGATAACAGTGTTAGTACCTACACCGAAACGTCGCTCCTAATTGTAATTCTCAAATGTCAAATGTCGGTACAACGCAAATCCGGTTTGGACAGATTCCTCTAAGGTTTCCTTCATTATCTTGAACATTTTAGCTGCATCATACATCTGTGATGGTACTTGGAAAACACACAGGGCAGTCTGTATTACAAATCAGTCTTCCTATGAAATAGATATGACATTGTATAGCGTATTTAGTTGGATGAACTGCTATTTTCATAGTATCGAGCACATCCACTGTTGCATGACTGTTATCCCTGTGTGAGTGAGTTGGGTTTGACACCGCTTTTAACAGTATTACAGTTATATCTCGGCGTGTCAGTTTAACGTGGGAGGAAAGCCCGAAGTGATGCAGGTCTCAGACTTTTACCACTTCGGTGAAACCCACGAGCACGGGTATGGTGCTGACAAACCTAGAAACATAACCGGGCCGAACCAGGATTCGAACCCACAATCATAGGTTTCTGGCGTGCCAAAGGGACGCAACTCTGCACAGCGAAACGCGGCGTCAGAGTGTTAGTGTGTATGTGCGTGTGTATGTATGTATGTATGTATGTATGTATGTATGTATGTATGTATGTATGTATGTATGTATGTGTATGTGTTTGCGTTGTGCATATGTGTGTGCATTTCTGTGTATGTGTGTGTATGTCTGTATGTATATCTGTGTGTATGCGGGTGTTTGTATGTGCGTATGTGCGTGCGTGTGTGTGCTTGGTTGCTTGTACCAGTGCGGACTTCTTCCGAGTTTTTAATGCTAGCCCACTGATATACCATATGCCGCAGTTTAACACAGATACCTTAGTCTGACACACTATACTCCGAGTTGTCAAGTCCTTGTTTTAGTCAGGCAGGTTAACAACAAGTACCATCCTTAAACAGGAAGAGAAAAAGGTGATGATGCACAGGTGCAAACGTTGTTGTGACATAACTGAAATGGAAACATGACGTTTCTCAAATGATCTATATTTTCCCCATGTATAAAATGCAGTGTTAAATCTCGGGCAAAAGAAAGTACAGACTTGAAAATTGGATTTGTGACAGGAGAAATTGCAATCGTTATCAAAACGTTACCAGGTTTCAGTCGCCGAAACAAACTTGAGGTCCAAAACACAATTGTGATATCAAATACATCATTATCGAATTACCATTTCTTCTTTGTTTCATTTTTAGCCACCATCAAACAGGGGTGTATACTGTCTTTTGCCCGGCAGTTCATACGGCGGCGGTTTAAATGTAGATAATCGCACAAGACAATCCAGTGATTGATATTGCGAGCAACGATTCACGCCGTCGGGGTACGATGACATGCAGTCAAAGAAGTCACCGAGCATATACACTCTTCAAAAAAAGGAAACTTCTATGTAGTTCATTGAACCAACAGATCCGGTATATAAATTGGATATATTTTATTGGAAAATGTTAGTGGCCTGATATTCGACAAACCGTGCGTCAAAACGCAGCCATTGTCGTTTTGCAATGTTTTAAACGGCATTGTGATTACACTTGTTCAAAAATGTCATGGAGGAAAACAGTGAAGCAACCAAGAATTACCACCCCTGCACAGGATCGCTACATTCGACTGTTCCATCTATAGCTACGTCATCGCAATGCCACAGCTACAGAGACTGCATGACGCATCCCTGGGTTGAGGAGAATATCGGACCAGACTGTCGGGAACCATCTTCGCGAGGCAGGAATCCGACCCAGAAGACCAGTTTTCGTCACTGTTATGCAACAGATCCATCGAGAGCGACTCCTGTGTTAGTGCCATACCTTACAGCCTTGGAATTTGAGAAACTGGAGACGAATGTGGTCTAACGATGAATCACGATTTCTTCTTCAACGGCGAGATGGAAGACAATGTGTTTATCGTCGTCGAAATGAGCGTAGGACAGAATTCATACACTTATCCAGTCAGTGCAGAGGAGATACTGAGTTCAGCGCAACCTTATTTGACATGACAATGAACAGTTTGCAGTGCCTTTGTACAAAGACAACATTTGACTATCGAGCTCCAAAATTTTATATTTGTATCAACGATATTAAGTTAAATATATCCACGTTTTTAGGTACAATACATTTACTGAAAAACTACCTGTGCGTTTCTTTTTCTGAAGAGTATATATGGAACCACGCGCCACAGATACGATCTGCCACCTGTGACGACTGTAACAAAGCCATAGTTGAATTTGGCTAAAACCCATTGGAAATGTAGTATTAATATCAATAATAAGACGTGTGAAAACAGAAATCAACGAATATTCCCCTTTTTCCCTGAGTTTCTTCACAAGGTGATGTGAAAGGTTTACCGTCGCAGTCAAGTGTTTGATTTCTCTTATATAGCGACATGCAACCTGGCATGTGTGTGTGGCTGCTTGTACTGGTCCTGACTATTGTTGGTTATATTGACCTAGCCAGGCAGGGCAGCAACAAATACCATCTGTGAACGTCATTTAGTATGAAGCGGTCAGTGGATTGAACCACCGACCTTCCCATTACTGACCAACGCACATCACACACAATTCTGTTTGATGAACATGTTGGCGGTTTATCGAAACACAAATACAGAAACATTGTTGTGTTGCAGTACACTTTTAATAATCTTAGAAATGATGAAAGAGACAGACACAAGGATCTGTAGCTGACATATATTGCTAATGGATACTTGCCAAATAAGCTAAAAAAGACAAAGGCTAATAAAGGCCTAACTAAGACAAATTTCAGGAAAAACGTAACTAAAAGTATTACACAACACACATTTACATTTCATCATTGATATTAATCATTTAAAGTATGTGAAGGGAAAAAGTCAAAGCAGGTTAGTAAACGTAACCATCATATGTTCAACACGAGGGCACAGGGTGGCCAAGCCCTCTAAGGTGTCTCAATTCGCTGTGCAGAGTTGCGTGCCTTGGGCGCGCCTGATTTTGGTTTCGAATCCCGGTTCGCCCCGATTTTGTTTACAGGTTTGGCAGCATCATATCCGTGCTCGTGGGTTTCACCGAAGTGGTAAACATCTGGGACCTGCATCACTTCGGGCTTTCCTCACACATCAAGCTGTCACGCCGTGATATCACTCGAATACTGTTAAAAGCGGCGTTAAACCCAATTCACTCACTCACTCCCCTTAGAAGCACCCGTATTATACCTTACCACATTATCTTATGGTCTTATGCTTAAGGCGTGTTTAACCAAACTCACTCACTAACTATATATAGGGAATACTTCCAGATCAAATGTAATGTTCAGGGGCGTTACACCGCACAGAGGAATGAATTAAGATGTCATATATTTAGATATTTAAGAGTCCTACCTTTAAAAACTAAACAAAAAAACACTTCATGTTATTGTAATGCTACAGTGTTGAAAGTCCAATATCAATTCCAGAAAAAAAGAAACATTGTTTATAGATGTTTGTTATTTAAATGGTTTGTACTTATTTGCTGATCTTCTGGAAATATGGTTTCTTGAGAGATTCCCATTGCAAGCATAACGTGACACATGTATCAACATACTAATTAAGAGACATCATTGTTGCAAAAGTGTCATAAAGATGAATAAACAGTCACATGTAATACATTTAAGTCTAGGACAGATATTAACGAGTAAATTAAAGCTAGTAATAAGGAATAGTAACCTTCTACCAACTACATGTACTCGATTGAGGTGGTGTGAATATTCGCGAAAAGACAAAGTTCAAAGTTTGAAAGCCCTAAGACGTGTACTGCAGGAACATTGTGTATACTTTAACGATATAAGAATACAGAGCAGGTCATGTTACTCTTTAACCACAGGATCCTTTTGTTGTTTAACGTCGGACTCAGCACTCGGCCAACTACATCACAGCAGTCGGTTAATAATGGAGTATGAACCAGTCTGACCAGTGGTTACCGTCAAGAGCGACGCCCCACGCAGTCTGGCTACGGTGACACAATCACCCAGGTTATCAGGCCTGGCAACATGGGGACGTATTCTAACCAGAAATACTCACGGTGTTGTTGCTACCAGAGGCGTCAGTATACACAAAAACAACAACCATTATCAGGTTGTTTCCATCTTGGTCCAAAAGGAAACGCAAATTTGACAAACACAATTAAAGTGTCCAAATGCGCCACAAAATTTAGTTGATATCCGGAATTGATTCATATGAAAGATACACATGGCACATGTAATCGATTGGGGTCAGCAAAGAACACGAGAACACCCCACACTTTATAACGCTAAAGATTAATAGGTTACGTTAGCATTGAACGTTCATTGAATACTATTTCAGCTATGGACAACGTGAACAATACATTGATATATTGACATGAGTATTCCATGAGCAATGTTATAAGAACAAGATAAAAGATGTCTATTAAAAACTACAATGCTTGAATATAGTAAAATTGACAAAACCCTTTATATAATCATAAGATATCGCTTATTTAAAAATCAATTGTATGATTTTGACTACATCATACGCATGTGTTTTTGAATCTCTATCAAATGTTGATGATATCAGGTGTTCCCGAAAATGTGAAAGTATCCTTTTCCACACGTGGCACCAATCACAAACACATGCAAAGGCAGTTCAAATGTTCACAACAATGTCATCAATACCTCACACTTTGTGCATAACATCCATAGAAACATGAGCTGAACAGTTAAAAACATCTCAACAAGCAAACGAACAAACATATATATTAGCGAATGAGTGAGTATGTTTTTACGCCGCTTATAACACTATTTTAGTTATAACACGGCAGGGTATGTACCCATACAGAGGCCTGGGGCTGTCAGCAATGCTTGTTGTAAGAGGCAACTAACGGGATCGGGTGGTCAGGATCGCTGACTTGGTTGATACATGTCATCGATCCAAAATGCGTGGATCGATGCTCATGATGTCAATCATTGGATTGTCTTGTCCAGACTCGATTATTTACAGACCGCCGTCATATAGCTGGAATATTGCTGAGTGCGGCGTTAAACAACAAACAAACCAAACCTATACGAGAAACAGAGCCATTACATATATACATATACATGTTTATATAACTATCTATCCTTAAACGTATTGGAGGCAAACTTCCGCTAAAATACAAAAACGTCCTTGATCACAGAGTAATATTAAATTCTCCATTACACTGACGGACAATTTAAAGTCCTAAGATAGAGCATTCTTCTCTTCTGATATAGACATGCATCTTTAGCTATTTGTATTACAGAGAGCCACTAATGCAAGTTGGGAGAATATAAGGGCGTGGCTAGAATGCAAAACTTTACATCAAGTTCAATATAAAATGTATTGGCCCATTACATGCTACACATACACCATAAAACACATTGTCAATGCAAGAGAATAATATAAGACTTTACATTTTGAAAGGGCTATAATGTCACATCAAATGCAAGTGTCATAACAGGTTTACAAGCATGCGATATTTGAGCTTCACTGGTTCAATGATTCTGGGGCAAAATGCTGCTTATAGACACCGACGACCGTGCTGTTGCCGAACCTTTGGTTAGAGGAATGAAATAGTAAATGACTTCACAATATCAGGTCAACGCTGATGAACAGTTGATGTCACTGGCAGGTCACTTATGCTCAGTATTTCCTATTTTCATTTCTGGAAACGTCTTTTTAAACCAATCGTCAAAAGATAGTCGGACACATGCATCATATTTCAAGCCAGCAATCTCCCTTTCTTCAAGTTCAAAAGACGCTGGTCCCAAGGCGTCATGAAACACGCAACCATTGACAGGTCTTACAGCCACTTCAATAATGTATGTGTCATCTCCAGTGTTGTGAATCCCTATTGTGAAGACGTCGTTCACATCAGAATATTTGTTTTCAAAAACAAATATTCTGCTCAGCAGCTCTTGTTCAAGCGTTCTCTTAAGTTCATCTCCCCGCCACTTTCCAGGAGGAACTATGTTTAATCCTTCCATATCTCCCTCGTAAAAGCGTTCCTCCCCTACAAAAATGTTTCCGCCTTTTTTTCTTTTTGAAAGTGATGAAACGTGCTCAGACAAATGAACTTTATCAATGAGTTCACTGACCTTATCACTTAAGCTTCTGTCGACCGATCTATATCCATACGACCACCTTTGGACATACAACTTCACCACAGCCTTTCCATGCTTGATATAAGAGACGCCTTGCAAGGTGGGCGCAGTATTCTGTACTGTACGCTGAGAGAAGAGGCGTGACTTCAAAGTATCAAGTGAGACGGATTGATACTTCAACATACAAGTAGGTTGTTTCGTTTTCAGATCAGCAGTGATAAACGTTGCTGAACGCTCAACTTCTATTCTCAATATGTTGGGACATGCTTCATCAAATTCACACTCGAAAACCTCGGAAACAACCTCACCGGGAGATGTCAGTGTGCTGAGTATAGAGTCAACGAATGAACGAGTATCCTCAATCCAAGTAGACGAATGTACGTACAGAATGCCTCCATGCGTGTTTCTCAACGCAGATAATATCTTCTTCATTTGATACTGTGTCTTTTGCATCAGCTCACATGTACATATTTCATTCTCTGATTGGTCAAAAAGGTGGATGAAGAAGACATGCTTCCCTAACTCACACTCACGCCTAGATTCCTCGGTAACGTTGTCACACGTGTCACATCCATCTATAGAACAAGTATTTATTTTTTTAAATAGAACGCATAAACATTATTTCATACCACAACGAGATTCACTTGGTGAGGCAATTAAAACAGTTAAGTTACGAATTATGCAAATTGTAACGATTGACGCAATTTAAATCATCTGAACATTTCTGGTCAGGATTAACGTTTTTATTGTTTGAAGTGTGGTCGTTTTTCTTGAAGATTCTTCTAAATATCGCAGTTTCAAGCAGAAACCTAAACTATGTTTCAAAGTCGTAATAATTAGATATGGCAGAAAGTAGTCTAGAGATCGAAGAATGAAGGACTATTTTCATCTTAAGCCTCAGTCACACAGACAATGCGACCACGATGCAACCTACTGGCGACTAAAATATGTGACAATCGCAATGAGGTTTCAAGGGGTCTCTGAAAGGTTTCATTGAGGTCGCTACAAGGTTTTGAAACCGTCGCAAAACCAATTCGGTCGCAACCAGTCTTTTGAACATGCATAAAAGACTGGCTGCGACCGATGTGGTCGCTCGGAGGTTTCACTGGTCTCCTAAAGGTCCTTAAGTGGTGTTATTTTAATCGCAAATTGGTTTCCACTGTGCGACGATCGGTTTCGTCTACACAAGGGTGTTGACTGTTTGCAACCTACTGGCGACCTATCGGTGATTGATCAGTGATGAGGCGGTGTTCGATTGGAGCTTCATCGGTGACTGGTTTTCGATCGGTTGCAAAGTGGTTTCCAAACGTGCTTCGATCATTCGCCTTTGGTTTTGCAACATGTCACCGTCTATAAAAAGACCTGTCTGTGCATTACAGCATCATTTTGTCATATGTACACAGAGAGTTCACATCGATTATTTCCATTCAACAAAAGAACCAGAAATTATAATAGCGACAACTGCTGTGGTGCACAGGTCTGCTACAATTGAGTCAACAACATGTCAACAAAACCTGATGAGTATGAAGAGCCAGAGATGTCAGATGTTGAGAGCATCCATTCAGAGGTGGGGGGCCCTAACCTGAGCCAGTAAACGCAGACAAAAATAAAAAGGTACCCAGAGAACCAAGGACTCAAAGATCTTCTCGAATTAGTGTCTTGTTGATCGCTGATTGATCGGCGATCATACGCTAATTCCAAATGTGGGCAGAAGTAGTTGCAAAGGTCTCAGCGATCGCTACTCGGTCGCAAAGGAAATCACCAATAGGTTGCTTCGCGGTCGCATTGTCTGTGTGACTGTAGCCTTAAACATCATCTCTCAGCATTGTCTAAACGACTTTCTGCAATGAAATGCTATTAAGCATGTCAGGTTACAGACGTTCTATGATCATTAATCGATGTACGCAATTTTGACATATTGTCTACGATGTCAGGTGTTATAGTAGTCGGCAGTGGTCTGAGGCGCCTACATTTGCTGTCCATTATGCATTTAGAAACGTACAATTGTCCTTTGGGTTCGAATCCCAGGTTAGCCAGCGTTTTGCCTGCAGCATGCCCATGCTCATGGGGTTCATCAAAATGATAAAAGTTTAAGACCTCCGTCCCTTGAAGCTTTTAAGCTGACACGCGGTGACGCAAATGTTAAATAGCGGATATTTTATAATGACATGTTGTAGCCACATGTACTTTGAACTACTGATTCTATGTAACAGAAAAGACACATGATATTACGTCAAAGTGTTAACGAGTTGTCCCTTTCTTAACTATTTCCTGTGTGACCTGCATATACTTACATATCTGAATGACTTCTGCCGGCAGTGGATTGGGACGGAGAGCTGCAAGAAAATAGCAAATAATGTATAATATTGAGCTGAAACGTAGCTCAAAGGTTCCTGAGTCAGTCAGTCAGTCAGTCAGTCAGTCAGTAGGCGGTTGGGTGAGTGAGTGTGTGAGTGAGTGAGTTAAACTTTAACGTCACATCGGCATATTTCAGCCATTTCGTGACGATCCTGTAATGAGGAGACGAAATTGTTTCCATTGTAACAATATTGGAGATGAGTCACTCACTTGACAGGAGTTTAAATGTAAGGACTAGTTGGCCTTTTCGGTTTGTCATTAATTATTATTATGAGTTATAAATCGTGATGACATCAAACATTGTCCCGAATTAAAGAAAGTCAAGTTGGATAACACGCAAATCAGTCCACATAATTCAGGTCAAATATCACATAACCAGTGTAGAAATATCCTGGTTGAATCCTTAGACGATGGATTGGACTAACTCTGCTATTAAGAGGATCACTCACAATGTCTAATAACTTAGTATATATTAACGAGCGCTCTGCTCGTATTACAATGACTTTCAAAATAATGCCTAAGTTAGTGTCTAGATGACAATGTCTACAACGTGAATCCACGGATAATCCATCGCGCAAGTTACAAAATTGCTGAACCTGTCAATCATAAGTAGGCCAAATGTGACATAATTTGCTATTGTTTGTTTGTTGTGTGACGCTGCACCCAGAAATATTCCAGCATATGACGGTGGTCGGTAAAGAATCAACTCTGGGCCAGACAATCCAGTGATTGATACGCATCGACACGATGACATGCATCAACCAAATCACCGAGTCTGACAAACTTAGCCCGATATATGTAGACAACAAGCACAGATCAAAATGTTATATGACTATCATAAATATGACACACAACATTGACAGATGACAAATTATTGTTTGATAGTAAAACATTCCACTTGTAAAAGGGGGCAGGGCTGGCCCAGTCGTCTAGGGCGCCGCGATTCGCGGTGCAGAGTTGCGTCCCTTGGACACGCCAGAAACCTATGATTGTGGGTTCGAATCCCGGTTCGCCCTGATTATGTTTCTAGGTTTGTCAGCACCATACCCGTGCTCGTGGGTTTCACCGAAGTGGTAAACGTCTGAGACCTGCATCACTTCGGGCTTTCCTCCCACATTAAGCTGACACGCCGTGATATAACTGGAATAGTGTTAAAAGTAATACATAACCATATCAATTTGGATACATTAACATGTTTACACAATGTTTGATAATCGATGAGTCTACTGAGGTTTGAAAGCCAGTAATTGTCAACATCCCATCCGATAAGTGAAATTTGCAAGCCATAAAGCTGGTTAAGACGTTAACATGGCCCAAAATAGAAAGCCGAAAGCAGTTTGATTACCATTCACACGGGATGTAACTACATGTACATCAGTCAAAATTAACATACATTCTTTTCAAGAGTGATTACCTACCTGATCGTGCAAGCTCCTTCAAAGATTCCATAGAGATATTACGACGCAGTTGGCCCCGCCTTTCCTTGCGACAGTGTCGACAAGGTGTATGTATAGCTGTACCTGGAACGAAATAAACTCTGTGTCATAGTGCTTGGCTAACGAGGGACACGTCTTGGTGTTCACAACCTGATGGAACGAAAAACACCTTGGTCTCCTCAAGATATACGGGTAAATTGAATATGAAAACCAAACTACTATGGTAGTTATCATTTTACGACTGTCATGCCCCTGTGGTATATTTGAAGTTGTTCTCTGAAGGGTCTAAGGGACTTATGGGTCTGACTTGGGTCGGTTACACGAGGTTGTATGTTGGTGGTACCGAAACCAACTTCTAGAGAGCGTGTTCTGGGGCACATTGAATACCGTGTTTAAAGTGGACTGAAATTATGCTGCTTCCAATCGTCCAATAAATGTTGTTAGGTTGTGTTTCCCGCTTTTCGAAGCATGCCTTCGTATTTGAACAGTTTGTGACAGGCAACGTTTGTTATATTTGTTTTTAACTCTGCAATTAATCTTAACTGGGGCGGTCGGGTAGCCTAATGGTTAAAGCGTTCGCTCGTCACGCCGAATACCCGGGTTCGATTCCCGACATGGGTACAATGTGTGAATCCCATTCCTGGTGTCCCCCGCCGTGATATTGCTGGAATATTGCTAAAAGCGGCGTAAAACTATACTCACTCACTCAAACTGATACAAACACTCTTACAATCATGATCACATTTTTTGGATTTTTCATAATCATAACATTAGTTGATTGTGCATGTGTAACAGTAGACGATGTGTCCGGAGACTGGTACGAAGGCAGGGGGAGGGGAGTATGTTGTGATCTGGCAATTTGTGTTCAGTAAATTCGTCGAACTTATGGAGTCATATTGGTGTTATATAATCCTTGTGTTAATCACACCTGTAAAACCTTGTGCTTGTTCAGTGAACCAGTGAGTGAGAAAATATCTGATTACGTTCCTATATCGAACGCATACAGTTCTAATAGGTTATCGGCAACCATTGTTGTATGCATCGATAAGTAGGCGATCGGTAGATCGTCGTATTCACACGCAAGGTTTTTATGTGAAAGGGCTTGTTACTGTTAAGGTATTTAATGGACGTAGATATTTCATTGTAATCCTATTCTGGATCAATCAGAATCAAACATTCTTTTGTATCATGGTAGAAATTGTGCGCTGTCGAGAGTCTGCGAATTGTAAACATTTCCCTGACCTAACTTTGGAGCTCATCCATTGAACAAATGTGCATGGTGATGAATTAACGAACAATAATAATTGCAGTTATGTTTGAAAATAATAAATTAGACGATAATAGACATCAAAGTTTGGTTTCTATATTTCATCTTTATTAACTGCTTTGCAGTCCCGTATTCCTAGCGATAGGCTTATGGATTACCATATCACCGTAAGTATCTTACATGACCGAAGGAAAAAGAGAACATACCCACACATACAAACTCGTGCTTGTAACATCCAGAACGTTTCTGCTAACTTTCTTTATATATTCTTGAGATGAAAGAGTTTCGCAGTTATTCTAGTCATATGCTTGTTGATTATATGGGATTATTTGATTGAACAAGGTGAAGTAAATGTGTGTAGTTTGTTGATAGCTTCGGAATTGTGGTACTTAACATGTAACGATCAATACGGCACTTATGACATGACTTATTTGTATATTATTAATTCCTCTTTTTGTTTAGCTTATATTATAGTGGCAAATCGGTGACGATGAGGTGACGGCAGTGGGTGCAGAAAAGAGAAACCAGTTTTCTGCAGAGTCGGTGCTTTTACTGAGGTTATTGACCAACCTGCATTGATGTTTGTCTCAGAGCAATGCATATAATATAAGTTGTTTTTTCTTATTTTCATTTCAAACTAATCACAAATTGCTATTGATTTTAAACTTGTGTTTATCATTTTCTACTCAAAACTGTATAGCAAATACTGCTGATTTTTACAATCTTGTAGTTATGTTCCTACGCCTAAAACAGAACTGACCTATTCTGAAGGAGTCAAACTATATATCATGCAGTAATCACTGATTCATCTCATATCCGTGTTGTTATCAAAGCCGCAAAGTGTAACTCACCCGTGTGTATTAGAATCCATCAGTCCTTAAATTGGCAACAGAACGAGACTAGCAGTTTGATGTATGTTTTTTTCGGGCGGTGGTATGTACAGAATACATTGCATTCGATAAGTTAGGGTTTCATGTGGTGAATGTAAAAACTGTTAGTGAAATGATTGAGTTGGCATTAAGACTATATTTCCTACAATTTATATTATGACGAACCAGCTGAATTAGTAGACAAAAGGAAATACGATCAACATATTTGTGCCTTCGAATGACAGGATGTTCATATTGATTCACATGTTAGCTTTAATTGTAGCTGTAAAATGACAATGGCGCCTACAATTATCTCCCGGAGAAATGTCAACTGAATGAAGCGATTTCCGATCACGAGATAGTCACAGTTCGGTCAGAGTTTTCCCGTATTCGTTGTATTTGCTCATTTACATTGAATATTTTTTCGTTTCAATTAAAACGTTGTAGAAGTCAAATCAACGACTACCCGTGACCCGATTTAATACTTACATCTGAAGATGTACAGAATATCTTATATCCTAGAGAATAATCTCAATGAAAGAAATGATTTAGTTCACTATAATATGAGATTAAATCATGGACACCATATAAAAGGAGGTTGAACCCTTTTTCTGCTTTAGATATGGGAAACGCCTACCAGCCTCTACTTCACAAGTGGGTGGTCATGCTCCACTGCACTTTTGACATTGACACTCGAGTATTCAAATAGAATGTCGGTAGCGGAATGGTGGCCCCGTGTTTTGCTCGGGACAATACGGGACAGAGACAAAATAGTTCACCTCGGGCAGTGCTCACTTTGAACAGCCGGGATTAATCTAACAGACCTTCGTCCCTTTGTTGTTATTTATTTCATGTTCATGAGGTCACGGAGATTTTACTCTTGCATTAAGTCCAAGCAACATACGGGTACCAATATGCAATTTAAACCAAGAACTTAGCTACTTGGTCTTGATCTGTGTTAGAGTTTGAAGAGGACACAAACACGTCAGGCTTATATGAGAAAACATTACGCCACCTTTCTAGACTTAACAGACAACAAAATAATAATTTAAAAAGACGAATACTCCTGTAATTTATTTGGTTTTATAACTTTAAATAAACCAAATTGAGAATTTATGGATATTTATGAAAACGACTGTTAGAAGAACAAAACGGCAAAAGCAAGGACGATCGCCGACGAAGCCACACCTCCGTGAGATGTTGGATAGTGACAGTGAAGTTAGTGGCTAACGAATGCAAATACATCAAAATCCACCAGGGTTTATGTTCCGAAATTGGCTTTCCATATCTTCTTTCCTCAGCGTTCAATATTTTTGGAGTGAGGATATTTTAGAAAATACAACCATCGTATATTGCGGACAAAGCGAAGGTAAAGTGCATCCGATGCTGCGGCACTGTCCCAGCGCCCGGCTTCAATCTTTGTAGTCATCCATCCTCTAACTCTCTGCTATCGGACATGCTCACCCGTTTCACGTACACCCGGTATCATCGGTCATTCTTTGTGACCCATTCATATAATTTGCACCACTATTTTACCTTTTACGCCAAAATGAATCCTTGTCGCAGATAATCGAGACTGATCATTCTCCATGCTTGAGGGTTTATATTAACTTCGCCTGACTTGTAGCCTGTGCGTTGTATACGGAACCACAGGACACCACACGGTGTTTTCCTACCAACCCCATACAGTTGGAGTGTAGATGAGATTCTTTGCGATATACGAGTTCACTTTCCTTTGGAGCAGAAGTGATTCAATTATTTTTTTATGAGTAGGTGGTCAATTTCACAATAACAAAAGACATGTCTGCTTTTCTGAATCTACTTTTATCAACCACACCTTTCGAGGTTTCATTCTCAGAATAATATGTTTCAGTGTCAGGAATTACCTTCCATATACATGAACTTCAAAGACGTAAGGTGAAATGGGTTTCAATGCAACGTCACGTTCAATATCATTGCACTTCAAATGTGACGTGCATGCACGCGTGTGTGTGTGTGTGTGACTGCTAGTACTTGTCCGGACTAATGGCAGTTTCACAGTGCTATCCCGCTGAGATACCATGTCGCAGTTTAACAGGAATACCCCACTCAGACACAGTTTTCTGTCTCCTAGCCGACAAGTCCTCGTTGTATCCCTTTATTGGCGAGCAAGGCAGGGTAACAGCAAGTACAACTGCTAAGGTCTTTTGTATGACGCGGCCGGGGATATAACCACCGACCTTCCGATCTCAGGGCAGACGTTCTATCCAATAGACCACGGAGGCGCTCTTGAACTTCGCACTAGCCTAGTAGCTGTTTTCCATTACAACTCGTTGTTTTATTTCATAAATATTAGTATTTAAGTAAATTGTACTATGTCTGTAAAGCTTTAGATGGTAATAATTACATTTATAATGGCATTGTTGATTTGATATATATTTGGTATCAGATGGTTAAAAGTTCACTTAGAATATTGATTTGATAATAACTTGAGAAGTGAAAATATGTTGTTCACGTCAATTACATGTCAAATTCGTTTTTTCCCTATAAGTGAGCGGTTCCATGTTTGAACGTTTGATTACAATTTTTTTCAGGTAGGAGAGAGACAATGGTGTATACGTCAATGTAAGTATGAATGTGCTTTTAGCCTAAGCTGTTTTGATGTCTTCCAGGCTTTTGTAATGATAATAAGTATATTGATTTGTAGTTTCTGCAAAATTAATGTTGTGTTTTGTTTACACAGATTTTAGATACGCTTGGTAGATATGGCTTTGCAGCGTTGTAACGTCTGCGCCTTAATGTCATACACCGGATAGGAATTGCTTTGTAAAGTAGTATATGTTTATATGATATTGTGTATCACATCTATTGAATTTTACATGCAGATTGCTTAAAGACGTCTGTGTCTGTATCATATTTATTTCATCTGTATGTACGGAATCAAGCAAGGAGTTGCCCTTGTAGTTGTGTCATAATCTGTCTAATTTGTGTTATATGTGAGTGATGTAATGGCCATTTGTGAAGCCCCATTTATATTGTATGACCCTCTATTTTTTTAATGAAATTGTTTCAGGATCTGTTGTTACACACTTGAGGCATAAACATTCTCATCCCGTAACCAGTGTCTTGGACCTTTGTTTAAATTCCACACACTAAACCGGCTGTTCAAGCCTTTAGTGTCTACATTTCACAACTTTTGAGGTATCATCGAGCATGCCCTATAGACGAATATTTCAAAGAACGTCATACGACTCCTGCTCAAAAGTTGCTTGATACGGGTTACAACAATCAGGGCCTTAATGAAACTTTCAAAAGTTTTATGGTAGAAATATGGATAGCATTTTGATGCGTCAGTGACAAATTAAATACAATGTAATTCCTTAGCTTCATGTGTACCATATGTTCCCGTTCTTTTTGGGTATATCATTAAGACGTGCCTTTGCATGTGTTTTGGACGGATACGCACACAGGGACACCTGTTACCATCACTATTTCATTGTGGTTCATGAACACATGCTAATGATATAGCCGAAATCATACAATGGACTTTGAACACAGAATTCTGATGATTTCCGAAAGTGTTTTTTCGCTTTCATTTACGATTCCACAACCAAAAGTGAAACCACGTTTCTTGATTACAGGTCTTACAGAATCAGCATTTAGTTGATGTATAGTCTCACGACACTGACACAAAGATTGCTTCAAAACAAAAGGCACTAACGGATTTTGTAAGACAACCATAGGATTTGTATGACATCTAATGTGGCATATTGTGTGGAGTAACTGAGAAACGTATTAAATGATGGAACGGTAGAAACATCCGTAAACATCAGGTGTATATAACAAACAAACAAAAGTATCTGTTATCTCTATTTTTTCATGATAGTTTTAAGATATTAAATGAATTAGCTGTAATGACGACAGTTGAATTAATCCAGTTTTATTATATATTCTTCCAAAAAAGAAACTTGACACTGACTTTCAAAATGTAATATAATGCGATTGTTTCAAAATAGGACACAGAAACCATAATTGTTTGAAGATCGATATACACAATGTTCAAAACATTTATCGTGTCACCTAGACAGACACACGTACACGATACAGTTAATGTCACAGGGGTACAGAAAATGTCAGTATCGGTTGTGCCCACCACGTGCATCAATCACCGCTCGACACCGACGCAATCAAGTTGTCAATAACACGCTGTTGGATGTGTTGCCATTCATGCTGAAGTGCATCAAGAAGCGCCGGAAGTGTTTGGGGCGGTGGATTCCTTCTGCGAACGCGTCGATCCAACTCGTCCCACAGATGCTCAATCGGGGACAAATCTGGTGATCGGGCTGGCCAAGGTAATGTCTCGATGTTGTTGTGCTGTAAGAAGTCCTGACAAACACGTGCAATATGCGGTCGAGCGTTGTCCTGCTGGAACTGTCCGCCATGAACGTTGACGTGAGGAAGAACGTAAGGCTGTAGGATCAAGTGTCTGTAACGCACACCTGTCAATGCACCTGCCACATGCACGAGAGGCGTCCTACCACCGTGATGAATTCCGGCCCATACCATGACACTCCCGCCGCCAAATGGGACAACCTGCTGCACACAGTTGGGGGCGTAACGTTCACCCCGACGTCTGCAGACACGTGCGCGCCCATCAGCACGTGTGGGTAGGAAACGGGACTCGTCAGTAAACAGTACATTTCTCCAACTTGCACGTGCCCATCTCACCCTCTGTTGGCACCAAAGCAGACGGTCCGCCATATGACGTGGGGTCAATACATAACGTCGAACAAGTCTTCGTGCACAAAGTCCAGCCTCCCTCAGTTTGTTGCGTACCGTTTGATCTGATATTCTGCGTACCCCAGGGATCTGTGTGGTTGTAGACGTGGCTGTGGTAGTGCGGTCTCGGAGGTGTCGCTGCCGGATGTATCGATCATGGGTTGTCACCCTTGGTCTTCCTGACCTTGGTCTGTCGTCTCTGTTGGTGTTGTTGTATCGGGTCCACAGTGCGGAGATTGTCTGTCTGGATACGCCAAAGTGCCTGGCCACTTCTTGCTGAGTTTTTCCAGCTTGTAATCTAGCAATGGCGTTGTTCCGTTGAGCTGCATTCACAGTCTTGGCATTCTGTCACCGCCTCTACTGCCGTTATAATGACTGTATGAACAGCCGTTGATGTGGATTTTTATACCCATTCAGCAGGGGGGCCTGCATGCCTAAATGCAGGATCCTGTGCTGCACGTTTTTTTACAGGCGGTTGCGTTTATGTGCTTTGCATGTGTTTTCGCGAATTAGATACACATCATCTTTCTGTTTGACTTATTTGGTTCTCATTTAATGTAATTATTTTAGATATTTGGCAAAAAGTGGTTTTACATCTATGTCAAGTTTCTTTTTTTGAAGAGTATATATTGATTATTATAAGGCAATGTGTCTGTGATGACTAACACCATATTGCTTGAAGCTACAGCTACACAAAAGCATATGTTATTACCATTAGGCCCGGTGTGCCAGTGACATGTGAAGGATATTTTAGATAAACGGTCATGGGTCAATCAAGGGACTGAGCCAAATGTATGTACATATCCTTTTAGTCACATATGCGACAAGGGTGTTTCCAAAGGGTTTATGTACAAACAACACAGTTGATGTGACATTGAACACAACCACGAAGTGAAAACCCAACAGAAAAGATACCACCTGTAATATAGGTTCCATTATGTATTGAAATCAAATGCCATGATCAAGCATCTGATACCAGTGATTTCATGACAATGTCCTGTCTTGATACGATCAATTCACCGACATAAAATCACTCGGGGAACAACGGATGTTCTACTTAGGCAGTTTTCTGAAGACAGGGTTCTAGGTGATAATAAATAATGTAGGACGTAAATACGGGCCATGTTCGCGCTACATCGGTCACAATCGACAAATGATAAATAAAAATCTGCAAAAGATACATCTATACGAATGCATTTACCTCCAATAACACCTGTGACCGTAATGCTCCTGCCTGATGCATGTCCTTCAAACCTCTTTGTTCCTGCAAGAAAAAATAATATCTTTGTGCAAATGTATTTACCTTCAATTACATTCTACACTGTTCCATCAGACACAACTTTTACTGTAACCATTCAGAAATGTCACAAGTGTTTACACAACATGTTTGATTAACCGTTACTCAAATCAACATTGGTTATTATTTACATCATTCGACACAGTCGGGATACTAAAAGTCAACTGATTACAACACCCCATTTTTGAAACCACCATGACAACCTTTTCGGATTTTTTTCAAAATCAAAACCTTCCTCCACTGTGCATGTGTAGCAGTATACAGTATGTGTGGTGGTTTCATAAGAAAAGGGACTGGTACGAAGGCAGTTGTTGTTTTCTGAAATGAACCGTGCTGTGGCTTGGGACTTCCCAAAGATTTTATGTGGAAATGATACAGATATGTTCAGTAGATTTGGTAAAGAAATTTTCAAGTTCAGTGTTGACGGACTGACTGATGGACGGACCACGGACGATGACCCATAAAAGGTCACATTGTCAAGGTGTCCTAAAAACTGAAAAGACACAAATGACACAGCTATATCTTGTAATGGTCAGATGAAAGAGACCTATCGCAATTTCGTGGGATCATGTCATGCTGAAGTGAAGTCAATGATTTATTGCACGAGTGGTAAGTGTTAATATATCCTACATTGAATTTGGTTATTTACCACTCTGACATTGGACTGTGTGTATCGCCTTTATGTGTAGATGAATAATTATGATTCAATGTAACACACACCAAAGCTAATTTTAATGTTTGTCTTCAACACAATTCGATGCTTAATAATACTATTATGGAATGTGTTACATGAAAAGTAGTCCCCTTACTCTTCCTATCTACGGACAAAACATCTGAGGATTTGAGTTTAAGATGTCCCATCCTATCATATATAATTGTTAATAACATATGCATATTAAATATTTGCTCTATTCACATTTAACAAAGTACATAATAATGTTAATATAACTAGGAACGATACACACATGGCCATAGGGACTGATACTTTGCCTCAGTAGTCTTGCTCACTGATGTATACCTGATCATGTATAAAGATTGTTCGTATTAGATTGTAGCTTTAGGAACTTCTGCAATGTTTTAAAATATGTGTAACATGGTATAACCGAATACACGAAAACACGTAGCAACACTGTAACAAATGTTTTATTTGGGATAACACTTTCTAAGTAAAGTACAGATTCTCGTACTTTTTTGGCTTGAGTCCCGTCCGGGATTCGAACCCATACTGCCAGAGTGAGGCACCTAATCACCTAATCGGGTTAGATGGCTGACTTTGTGTGCTGGCGATTAGGTGCCTCACTCTGGCAGTGTGGGTTCGAATCCCGGACGGGACTCAACCCAAAAACGTACGGGAATCTGAACTTTACTGAGAAAGTGTTATTCCAAATATAACATTGCTTAGATATGGCCACTTTCTAAATGACATTGTTTGTTCACGTGGCAACACTGATTTGACATGATACTCGTTCAGAAATGAGGACAAAAACCATGAGGCATTCTATACAACGCTGGATGAGAACAATATCTTTGTGCATCAAATCAAATACAGGTCTAAATGAACAAAATGATAAATTATTTAAGTCTATACAAATGTATTTACTTGCAATCACTGCTCCTCCACCAAGTATATCTGTTCCTGTAAACGGTATTGTCTTCTGAATCGTTTTATTTGTTCAGAAAGGTTTCAAGTATGCACACAACGTGTTTGATTACCTGTCACACACATCAACATTGCTTATTATTTATATCATTTGTCATAGTTAGGATTTTTTTATGTTTGAGGCTGATTTGGCTTGTAGAAGCATTAAAATGATATGTTCAGAAAACAAGTTCTTTACTCATGTTACAGGTATTCAATCCCCATCAGAGCTTTGCTGAGATAGTTAGTTGCAATTTCAGATAGTGATGTATTTTAATCTAACCCAAATACGTGCTTCTAAATGAAATCTTTCAAAAAATTATGGACAAACTGATGTCTATATAATATATTCTCTGATTGCATTTTCCAAGTGTGTGAGTGAGTGGGTTGATAATTAAAGTCACATCGGCAATATTTCGGTCATATCGACTTAGTGCTCCTAAGCTTACATCTGCTGGCAGCGACGTGAAGGTCAGGTGTTACTGCTTGGGTGAATATTCTAACATCAAATCTGAAGTTGATGACCTTTAAAGTCAGCAAATCATATGTCACAATAACACTTCCGTATAGTTAGTAATACTAGTATTGAACTAATTACAACAACAACTTTATTCTTACAAGCAACATTTTATGGATTTTTCAAAATCACAACTTATTTCATCGTTATACGAAAATGATATAGATATGAACAGTAGATTTGAGACGAACTTTTTAAGACGAAGTTCAGTGATGACGGACTGACTGATGGACCGACGACGACCCATACAACGGTCACGAGTGGTATTCCTACATTGAATTAGGCTATTTACCACCCTGACATTGGACTGTGTATATCGCCTTTATGTGTCGTTGAATACCTTTGATTCAATGTAAAACACACCCAAAGCTAATTTAAATGTTTGTCTTCAACACAATACGATGCTTAACGATACAATTATTTACATCTACACAAACGTATTTAGCTTAAGCCATCGTTGAACCGCCCGTCCGTTGAGCTCCATTCCACAGTCTTGGCATTCTGTCACCGCCTCTACTGCCGTTATAATGACTGTATGAACAGCCGTTGATGTGGATTTTTATACCCATTCAGCAGGGGGACCTGCATGCCTAAATGCAGGATCCTGTGCTGCACGTTTTTTACAGGCGGTTGCGTTTATGTGCTTTGCATGTGTTTTCGCGAATTAGATACACATCATCTTTCTGTTTGACTTATTTGGTTCTCATTTAATGTAATTATTTTAGATATTTGGCAAAAAGTGGTTTTACATCTATGTCAAGTTTCTTTTTTTGAAGAGTATATATTGATTATTATAAGGCAATGTGTCTGTGATGACTAACACCATATTGCTTGAAGCTACAGCTACACAAAAGCATATGTTATTACCATTAGGCCCGGTGTGCCAGTGACATGTGAAGGATATTTTAGATAAACGGTCATGGGTCAATCAAGGGACTGAGCCAAATGTATGTACATATCATTTTAGTCACATATGCGACAAGGGTGTTTCCAAAGGGTTTATGTACAACACTGTTGATGTGACATTGAACACAACCACGAAGTGAAAACCCAACAGAAAAGATACCACCTGTAATACAGGTTCCATTATGTATTGAAATCAAATGCCATGATCAAGCATCTGATACCAGTGATTTCATGACAATGTCCTTTCTTGATACGATCAATTCACCGACATAAAATCACTCGGGGAACAACGGATGTTCTACTTAGGCAGTTTTCTGAAGACAGGATTCTAGGTGATGATAAATAATGAAGGACGTAAATACGGGCCATGTTCGCGCTACATCGGTCACAATCGACAAATGATAAATAAAAATCTGCAAAAGATACATCTATACGAATGCATTTACCTCCAATAACACCTGTGACCGTAATGCTCCTGCCTGATGCATGTCCTTCAAACCTCTTTGTTCCTGCAAGAAAAAATAATATCTTTGTGCAAATGTATTTACCTTCAATTACACTCTACACTGTTCCACCAGACACCCCTTTTCCTGTAACCATTCAGAAATGTCACAAGTGTTTACACAACATGTTTGAATAACTGTTTCTCACATCAACATTGGTTATTATTAGCATCATTCATCACAGTCGGGATACTAGTAGTCAACTGATTACAAACACCCCATTTTTAAAAAAGCACCATGACAACCTTTTCGGATTTTTTCAAAATCAAAACCTTCCTCCACTGTGCATGTGTAGCAGTATACAGTATGTCTGGTGGTTTCATAAGGAAAGAGACTCGTACGAAGGCAGTTGTTGTTTTCTGAAATGAACCGTGCTGTGGCTTTGGACTTCCCAAAGATTTTATGTGGAAATGACACGGATATGTTCAGTAGATTTCGTAAAGAAACTTCAAGTTTGCAGTTGACGGACTGACTGATGGACGGACCACGGACGACGACTCATACAAAGGTCACATTGTCAAGGTGTCCTAAAACCTGAAAAGACACAAATGACACAGCTATATCTTGTAAAAGTCAGATGAAAGAGACCTATCGCAATTTCGTGGGATCATGTCATGCTGAAGAGAAGTCAATGATTTATTGCACGAGTGGTAAGTGTTAATATATCCTACATTGAATTTGGTTATTTACCACTCTGACATTGGACTGTGTGTATCGCCTTTATGTGTAGATGAATAATTATGATTCAATGTAACACACGCCAAAGCTAATTTTAATGGTTGTCTTCAACACAATTCGATGCTTAATAATACTATAATGGAATGTTTTACATGAAAAGTAGTCCCCTTACTCTTCCTATCTACGGACAAAACATCTGAGGATTTGAGTTTAAGATGTCCCATCCTATCATATATAATTGTTAATAACATATGCATATTAAATATTTGCTCTATTCACATTTAACAAAGTACATAATAATGTTAATATAACTAGGAACGATACACACATGGTCATAGGGACTGATACTTTGCCTCAGTAGTCTTGCTCACTGATGTATACCTGATCATGTATAAAGATTCTGCAATGTTTTAAAATATGTGTAACATGGCATAACCGAATACACGAAAACACGTAGCAACACTGTAACAAATGTTATATTTGGGATAACACTTTCTAACTAAAGTACAGATTGCCGTACTTTTTTTGCTTGAGTCCCGTCCGGGATTCGAACCCATACGGCCAGAGTGAGGCACCTAATCACCTAATCGGGTTAGATGGCTGACTTTGTGTGCTGGCGATTAGGTGCCTCACTCTGGCAGTATGGGTTATGTTACAAGGATTTCCATCCCCATCTCAGCTTTGCTGAAATTGTTATTTACCATTGCAGATAGTAATGCATTTTAATCAAACCCAAATACATGCTTCTAAAGGAAATCTTTCCAAATATAATGGACAAACTGATGTCTATATAATATATTCTCTGATTGCATTTTCCAAGTGTGTGAGTGAGTGGGTTTATAATTAAAGTAACATCGGCAATATTTCGGTCATATCGACTAAGTGATCCAAAGCTTACATCTACTTGCAGCATCGTGAAGGTCATGTGTTACTGCTTGGGTGAATATTTTATCATCAAATCTGAAGTTGATGACCTTTAAAGTCAGCAAATCATATGCCACAATAACACTTCAGTATAGTTAGTAATACTAGTATTGAACTAATTACAACAACTTTATTCTTACAACCAACATTTTATGGATTTTTCAAAATCACAGTTCATTTCATTGTGCATGTGTAACAGGAGACAATATACCCAATGGTTTCTGGGGAAAAGAGATTGGTAGGAAGGCAGATGTTTGTCTGAAATGAGACAGCTAGGACCTGTAGAGCATGTTATGCGGAAATGATATAGATATGAACAGTAGATTTGAGAGGAAATTTTCAAGTTCAGTGTTGACGGACTGACTGATGGACCGACGACGACCCATACAAAGGTGACACTGTCAAGACGTCTTATAAACTGAAAAAGACACAAATGACACAGCTATATCTTGTAAAGGTCTGATGAAAGAGACCAATCGCAATTTCGGGGGATAATGTCATGCTGAAGTGTTGTCACGTGGTGCAGCAAGGACATCGATTTATTAAACGAGTGGCAAGTGTTAACATATCCTACATTGAATCAGGTTATTTACCACCCTGACATTGGACTGTGTGTTTCGCCGTTATGTGTCGTTGAATACCTATGATTCAATGTAACACACACTCAAAGCTAATTTAAATGTTTGTATTCAACACAATTCAATGTTTAATGATACAATTATTTACATCTACACTTAAGCCATATTTGAACCGCCCGTTGTGCCAACAGTATGTACACAACCTGTTTGATTAACTGTTACTCAAATCAACATTGGTTATCATTTACATCATCGATCACAGTTGACATTGTGTCATATTTGAAGCTGGTGTATCTGCAGCATTAACATGTCATTTTATTCACGTTGCAGGCATTCAATCCTCATCTAAGATCCGTTGAAATAATCATTTACCATTTCACATTTCAATGCATTTTCATAAAATCCAAATAAATAGACATAAATTTCATTTACTTTGAAATACACACTGATGTTTTCTATGATGATTGCAATTGGTAAGTGACCCAAAGCTTATTCAGTTGTTGGCAGTGTTGGGGAGGTCAGGTGTTCCTGCTAAGGTGTATATCCTTTCATAACATCTCAAGTTATTGACCCTCAAAGTGAACAAATCATATGTGAGAATAACACTTTAAAATATTTAAGTACAGGAAATAATACTTAAACTTGATACCAGTTTCAAACTGATACATTCCCGACATGGGTACAATGTGTGAAGCCCATTTCTGGTGTCCCCCGCCGTAATATTGCTATAATATTGCTAAAAGCGGTGTAGAGCCAAACTCACTCACTCACTTAAGCTGATTGTAACAGTAGATTGGTTCGAAGGCAGAGGGGGGGGGGGGGGGAGTATCTGGCAATTTATGTTCAGTAAACTCGTCGAAATGATTGATTCATAATGGTGTTATATATAATCCTTGTGTTATTCACGCCTGTAAAATGTCCCCATGCTTAGTACTCTTCAAGAGGTTGGTGACGCACCACTGAATTCCCTCCCCAATTTCCCACCCACTCACCCACCACTTGTCTGGATCCGACAATGGTGAATACTCATTCTGAGAGGATATTTATGAAGATATTATAAAATCATTATGTTATAATAACTTCCTCCTTAATATGTCAGCATTGCTGCATTCTTGCTTCTCATTCACATTAATTTAGACACTTACCCGTTTCCGCTAGGTCATGTCTTTCAGAATACGATGGTAAGTGTGTTGATTGGCTGAAAATACACAAACATCGAGGCAGTGGTGAAGATATAAACATCTACAGGTAATCGCGACGTTTCTATTAGTTAAGCCAATTTTGTGAATAAAGATACATCGAAAATGACACGAAATATAATAAGAACTTTAGCACGAGGGATACAGTGTACGGTGCATATCTGTCAGCAGTATGTTTATTCGCGAGGAACTTATCTTGTGCTTTGATCTATAGGCATTACTTACCACCTAGTCATCATTTTAATTTTGTTTTCTACTAGTAGATGAAGGACTAAGCAATTTCTTGTGTCAGTTGTGCGACCAGGAAATCAATTGGCTGCTGCAACAGGCCATATACCATTTTGGTTGTAGTAACAGAGGTTATTGGCTCTTTTGTTCTGCTGATGTGGAGTGTGTGCTGTTATATATAACATGAAACACTGAGACATACAGAGACTTTAGAAACACATTTAACTGCACACCCATGATATGTACCTGTGTAGCTTGATTGTTAAAGAACATTACTTTTAGTTTCCTGCCTAATTAACGAATATGGAGATGTCGTCTCTGTTGCCCAATATTTGTAAACAATTGTTTTCATTGATCATTATTGACCAAACCCTTTCAGAGTTTACATTTGAGTACTTGTATCTTCATTTTCGGAATCTTCTTCTGCTGACGTTGATGGGATCTTTGTGTCCAGGACATTATGTGTCTGTCTATCACTATCCTCACTTCCGTCCAGTGAGAAGAAGCTTTCATCTAAATTTTCAGATGAGCTGTCATCGTCAAATGTTGTCCCACCTATCCCTAAATATCGTTTAAATTAGAATATATTAGAATGGGATTATGTAATTTATCAACTGTCATATTATATATATTGTAAATATAATGTAAGTCTTTTGTATCTCCCGCCAGTCACTTATTACAGCCAATCTCAAAGTAACAATATAACAGTGTATCAACTCTTTTTCCGCGCTTACCGTAGCTCACCTTGTTGTGCAATCCAAACGTTAACTTATCAAATGAGACATATTAATGTTGCTGTCAGCATTAGAATAAAGAGATTTTATGCATAGTTATTTCAGGTCAGTTTGACAATATGAATCAACGAACTACAATTTCGACATTGTTTCCATTTCCACAATAGAGAATTTCATAATTAGACTTGCAATACACATCTATTATTAAAATGACACCCCATAAGATGGACAAACACCCACATTTTAGAACATGTCAGGCTGCTGTATCTGAGAAAACGTTTCAGAAAATACAAAAGCGTTTGCCCATAACCACCCCTTCACGCATGAACTTGACCTTTGACAAATCTTCAGTAGATGCAGGGCCCAATGCTAGGTAAGGTATCCACCAGGTTTGGTGATTAAATATTAGGAATTGCAATCACACATCTTAGTTTGATTTATCTGGTGAACCTGACGACGAAAGCAACTAACTGTCATGATCTTGTACATAAAACAGTCGTTGTGTCGAACTCGTGAGGACGTGTATGTGGACGTTATTTTTTAACTGTTGGAGTCATTGGTAGAGTTTATGCTTTATTTCCCACTTAGGGCTACCAATTACGTTCGAGACAACCGTGAATTCGACATATCAAGTTCGACAGATAAGAGTATAAATGATAAATATAGGAGCAATTCGCAGGGACTGGAAGGTATGTTCTAAACAAGCGGCATTCGACACAACGAGGTTTCACTGTATGTCCAGTCCCCAGTTTACTTTAAAGAAGATGCTAAAACAAATTGAAAATCGGATTTGAACAAGTATGTTAAGCTTCAGCTTCGCTGGTCAAGTGCTTCTGCTGACATGATGATTGCAGATCCTAGAATGTACTTTAAGAGCATTGAAGTCATGGTCAAAATATATAATATTACAAAAAGGGGACCTATAAGTCCCACGACATATTTTATTTAAATTGGAAAAATATATGGCCGTGACGGCCATATTGTAACTCGGATTCGAACATCAAGATCAACCTATGAAAGTTACAACTTCGCTTGGTTCAATGGCTTCTTAGGGGAAAATGTTTACAGAATTGTACTTGGTTACAAATACTTTTCGTTTATATCCAGTTCGACGGTATCAACACCGATAAACATTTGTTGCACTACGAAAGCAGAACAATAACGATGCGCACATGCATATGCACATGAAATAATGTGTAGAATTCGTTACCCTTAAGGTCAAAATTCAAGTTTGAAGTTTGAAAATTAACATTTTGAATTATCATGAATTTGCACTTCCAACAAAGAGTGCGTGTATGCCAAGCACGTTAGTTTGTGTGATCATAGGCTATTTTGCATTATTGTTTCAAACGATCGGATCGCAAAATGACATTCGAACATAAATCTTTCACTATAAGAGGATATTACTGTTGTTCACGTTTGGTAAATAAGCGATTTCTTGATCTAAAAACCAAGCAATGAAATTACTCGCATATTGCACACTAAAGTGAAGCAACATTCGGATGCTTGTAATGAAGATGAACATTCTTAACGTACCTTTTGCATCGCCTGATTCACTGAAACACAACAAAAAACTTTTGTTACTGTAAATTGTAACTGCAATTATCAGTGATATTAAAAAAATTATTGGTTAATCTGCAATGGTAACAGTTGTTGCTACTCCCACGTGTTGTATACACTAAGTTCCGCCATCACCTGGGACTACTTACGTCCTCTTATGTCTTTACATTGCATGCTGTATAACTGCCATGGTTTGCTGCTGCTGAAGTTGAGTAAAAGCAACAAAGCCGTTTCTAAAAAGTAAACCAAAAAACATACAAATGGATAACAACGTCACTAAATGCATTAAACAAGAAGTTGTTATCCACAAAGTTGTATGTTTTCAGGCACCATTTTCATTATCACAAGAAATCTCTGCTAAAAGCAGAGTCCTATTAACGATACCAACCATATCATAAGCATGTGTTTAATACTAATAACAATAATTATAATAATGATGCCACGCTTGCATCCCAAGTACCAAGTTGTCCAACTCCCCATTGTTCTCGGTGCCTTAGGTTTTGGTACCTCCCAAACTGTTGATCATGACTGACATTGGGAGAGTACCCGGGTTTTCTACCAGGAATACAGCCCTTATGACAATCTGGGTAATGCAGAAGGCTGCAGTGTTGGGAGTCTTCACAATCTCCGAAAAGTTCTGGGTGGGTTTGACTAGGCAGCGCTTCCTGCGTAAAGTTTCGTTTTAGTATGGCACTCTCAGATCTCTCAAGACCTATACTCACCACCAAAAGAAACACAAACCATAGAAACATATGGAGAAGTATGTACGTTACGAATAAATAAAGCGAAAAAAAACTTTCAATAACCCCTTCCGTATCCAATAGAAATTTCTGCATAAAACAGAGTGGAGTGTACGATTCCGACTATATCTTGAGAATGTGTTTACGAAAAATTGGTGAGCGTGTCCTGCCCCACTGGTGGTACCGGTCACAAAAACAGAGGTGTTTCCAATGTGTACCACTCAGTGAGAAAACTAACAATCAGTCAAGTGTTACAACAGTGTCTTTATTCTTATCACGACACATGCTGCATGTGATTTCCAAAGTTTCCACACTAATCCTGCACGAAACAAATGTTGCATCTCGAGTCATGGGTCTGTGGCGTCGCATGTGTTGCGTATTTGAGCGTCGATTCACACAACATACAGTATGTTCGTTTGTACATCGAACCAATCTAATATCACTACTTGAATATGGGTAATTCTTCTTATATTAACCAACATGTATGGTATTCGCGGTTTTTGTTGTCGATGCGTATATAATAACAGACTGTCATCCGACGGAGGGTCATTCCATAGATGCAATATTTGTGTTTGAGTTGGCTCAACAGACAACGGCTGTGGTTATCGTACCAAAAGCCGAAGATAAATCTACAAGTACAAAAGCAGCAACCATGCCATCATCCACAGTGCAACATAAAACACTATTAGTGATGATATCAGGTGAGCATATTAATCCACACAGGTGGCACCCGTCACAAAATATGCAAAGGCAGGTCAAGTGTTCACTGATGCGTCAAATTTGGAAATTCCCTCAACATGTCTACCCTTTACCATTTTGAAAGTCTTTCAAAGGTCTTGAATGTTTTAACCCAGATTTAACAACTTCTGACGGCTCAATATTATAATGTAGAAAGATGAGGCAAGAGCTGTTGGAATATTAAGGGAAAATTGACTATTGGAAAATTAAAGCCGTGTATCTGAAGCCTTCTTTGAGAAATTCCCTTGTTTTGATTTTGCCAATCCGAGCAGAAATTTCGATTCATATGGATAACGAAACATCAGATAAGCATGTAGTAATTTTATTTTCTGTTATTTTTTTTCTTTCATGTTGGTGTTCTATCTATACATGTCGAAGAGGACGCGAAAATATCTGCATACCAAATATAGAAACTAAGATGGCAAGATGTGGCTGATGATGACATGAATCTCAGGTAGGTTTGCTTTATAGATCTATTGGATCTTCCCGTTTATTATACAATCTTATGGGATTTATTTCGATATTATCTGTGTTGTAATATATATGCAGTTTATCTGTATGTAATATATGAGACGGTGTGTTATTGTGTTAATCTGTGCCCTACAATAAATACAAGGCACGTGTCAATGATAGATCAACTGACCTTGTTGCATAGGGATCCTTTTTGGGAATGTGTTCTGCTTGTTTCGAACTTGGGGCAACGTGTGTGTAAGATGCTTCAACAGTACACGAAGTAGCGTCCATCCCAACGCCAGCCATGTATTGTAAAAATCTTTCTTTCACAAAGTCCTTATCGTCACACATTCTCTTTGCTTCTTCTTCCGTCTCGTGGAGAAACTGTAAGTGTAGACATCCATCGGAAGCCTTTTGCAGCTTACTACCATACTTTGTCTCCAACTCGGAATTCATTTTAAAAAATTCGTTGGACTCCTTTTCAGAAATCGGCATCGTATCACCAGGAACACCCCGAAAAATCCAAGTAGACAAGAAGGGCCAGTTGCTTCTGATGTTAGTTGAATACGTCCATCCTAATCTTCTGCCTGCTGCACATTCGACTGTGGTAACATACAAAAACAACGACATGTGAATACAAACAACAAACTTACTATGTATATGCTTACTGGACACGGCCTTTAGGGGCCGACCATTTGACATACCCTTGAAGGGCGCTGGGGTGGGTAGGGTGGGTAGGGTGTGGTTGGGGTATGGTGTGTGTATGTGTTTTGTTGGGATGGAATGGGGTCCTTTTCAAAGTAATAGTCTGTTCCCGAAATGTTTGGAATTGATAATATTCCCTCAATATTTAAACAAACACAATCATTCAATGGCATGCAGCATAATCGGGTGCTCAGTCCTTTTCATTACTAAACGACCATTAATATCCTTCATTTTGTGACGAGATTAGATATTCTTTCGCCTACAGCTACAAAACCAGACATTTTTCTATATATTTAAAACTATTTTGTTCTAAGAATAACACCTTGGAACAATGTGATTTCTGTAGATGTCAATTTCTTTTTTTTTCAACAGTCTGAAGCAAATTTAAAATGATTGTATTATAGACTTTGCGAGGTGAAATGGTCCGACCTTTATACATCTTACATTCTAACGTGTATTGTATGTTATTGTGACGAATATAATGACGTGGTACTGTTTTAGTGATGATATAGCTGAGTGTCGTTTTGCTGAACGATAAATCGTTTGTATTTTTGTAGTATATTATGATCACTGTTCCAAAAGCCCTTTGGGTTTTCCTGAAGCGAAGACAATTTTTAAATATTCACAAATGTACCTAAAAGCAGAAATCACTTCTTCTTTCGAAAGGTAAAATCACAACTGTATTCGGAATTAAATCTTCACGTCGGTATTCATTCAAAGCAATTTGAGTGTTGCTGAATTTCAGTAGCCATCAAATACCAAAGAAATGTCTTTAGGGAAGCAGTGTTATTTTACTGAATACCCGTTCCACAGTCTACTCAAGTAGAATATATCTAAATATGTACTACACATCGTTATGAAGCTTTCACGAAGCACCAGGATATTATATACATGACTGACCAATCTAAGTCCACTGCTGCCTGTTGGATAATATTTTAGAGTGGTCAGTTTGGTTTCTGTTACGAATAGATATTTGTTTAAAAAAAACGCATATTTTCTGAAACATTTATGCATACTGACACAACAACAAACCAAAATACATTATCACGGACGGAGCACTAACTTAAGGGATAATATTCACCTTCTATCCGAGTAAGGCCATCTTTCTGCAGGGACTGCAAACACAGTGATTAGGCATATTAGAAGCACACAACGTTATCACCTTGAATGTTTTGTTTTAAACGACGACTATCATATGATTGTGTTATCATACACAAATGGCATTTTTCCCATCGATGGTTGCCCCCC